ACTGAAGATGGGGTTGTTGCTCACTTTCCTGGAGACAATGCAGACTTCCACGGCTGAGGTGTGTATGCTTTATTTTGTATCAAACTTATTCTCAGTAAGGGGCTGCTCACCCTCTTGAGCCAACCTGCATTCTGTACCAAACTTTAAGTATGTTTTTCTTGTTTTTGTGTTAGACTTGAATCTGTACTGAATTTACTTTTGTGTTAAACTTGGTGTGGGCCCTGCTCAGTCTCTGAAGCTATGCTGCACTCTCTCCATGGAACCTGTATTTCCTATTACATTAAAACTTGCTCTCATTTTCTACTGTGACTCTGCCCTTGAACTCTTTCCTGCAGCAGAGTCAAGAACCTAGTAAGAGGACTGGGTGGGTTGAGGCTGACTATGGCCCCCGCCTCCCCCTTCATCCACCCCCACCCTACCTCCAGCATCAGTTCTGCCTCACCGTTGCCTGCACCCAGCCAACAGAAGGTGGGTAAGAAAGTGTGGAGGGGGAACGTGCTCCTTGAAGCTTGGGGCTGGGGATGGCACACAGCACTTCTGCTGACATTCCACTGACCAGCATTGGGTCACAGAGCCATACCTAACCCAAGGGGGACCCTGGAAAATGAAGCCCAGGTGTGTGCCCAATGCAGTGGAAAAAATATAAAAAATATAAAAAATATAAAAAATATAAAAGGATTGTTGGTGAACCACAATCTCTGTCACAAGCAAGTTAACTAATCTCGTGCCTCTAGGCTCTCTCATTTACGAGTGGGTAAGAATTATGTACATACGGTACCAATCTTGAGGCCTTGTGGTATGGAGGGGGAACGTGCTCCTTGAAGCTTGGGGCTGGGGATGGCACACAGAACTTCTGCTGACATTCCACTGACCAGCATTGGGTCACAGAGCCATACCTAACCCAAGGGGGACCCTGGAAAATGAAGCCCAGGTGTGTGCCCAATGCAGTGGAAAAAATATAAAAGGATTGTTGGTGAACCACAATCTCTGTCACAAGCAAGTTAACTAATCTCGTGCCTCTAGGCTCCCTCATTTACGAGTGGGTAAGAATTATGTACATACGGTACCAATCTTGAGGCCTTGTGGTATGTATAACTATGAAGCACTTTGAGTTCCACAGATAAACAGTGCATCGGTTGACACATTGTTATTGTTTATGCCATTGCTGTGCTACTACTATTTGAAACATGACATTGAGTTAAGTAACAGTAAAAACATAAAACTTTCTACCTAAGAATATAATCAACAACACAATGTTAAATGTAATACTGCCTGGCAGTAAAGGGATGAACTAAATGGTGTTCTGGCCCCATGTTCTTTTATTCTAGTTATATCACTCCAAATGAAACAGCTATTTTTTTCTTCCTGTTTGAAAACATGAGTATTTCTGCTCCAGAACTGACATACTGAACTAGTTCGTATATCAGAAATGTAACTCCAGAAAACATCTAGTATCTTAAGAAAACAAAAACAACAACAAAATAAACTTTTATAGAATGTCATTTTAAAATACAAAGTTCTGAGACCTTTCTGCAGAAACTGAAGGAAAGAATTACTACCCTAAGTATCTGGTAAGGACCAGGTAATGAATTTTATAGTAAGTCCACAACCTTTTGGATATCAATCATGCAAAATAAATATTGGTGGTGAAACAGCAGCACAAGGACAAGAAGTTCCACTCACATGTAGCCAGTGTAATTTAAGAGTGTGCCAGGCAGAATGGTAGCAAGATACATGATCTACCCGGAAGCCAAGGCTAGAAGATGCTAATACGACTTTGAGAAATTTAGTTAGCTTTGGTTTCTCCGCCTAAAATGGCAAACACTTATATGCAAATGTTTCTAGAATAAATCCTTAAAATCTGAGAGAGAGAGAAAGTGAAGGGGAAGAGGGAGAGGAAGATAGAAAAGAGAGTAAAGGGGGAGAGGGAGAGAAAAGGGACATGGGGAAAGTTGCAAGATTGGAACGGTGCTGACTGATTGTTCTGGGCTATACTAAAACAATTATGTTTGCTTCAGGAAGCATAGAGCCTAAGAAACAAAACACATTCATTTAATACAAGCAAATCAGGCATTATTATTTGTTTAGCACTTTATCACAAATGCTTTATTAATGGTGGAGTTGAAACCATCATCCCTTCTCTCAGATTTATGCAACAGATAAAGAGAGAACATCCTTTGAAACCATCATCCCTTCTCTCAGATTTACGCAATAGATAAAGAGAGAACATCCTAACATTCCAGTTAATTCAAGAAATATATTTTAGGTCTTACCTCTGTGCCAGGCACTGGGAATGTATGGTAAAGGAGACAGATATGGTTCCTACCTTCATTAAAACATAAATAAATAAAATAATTACAACTTGCAGGTAACTGCTATGAAGAAAATGAGGAAATGAGCCATAAGGATATCTGAGGGATATCAGAAGGAAGAGTGTTCCAGAAAAGGGGACCAGAAAGTACGAGGGACCTGAGGCAAGACTCATTTGGCACTGTTAAACAACATTTACGGGAGGCCATTTTTTTGGACTAGCCTCCTGCTCCAGGCCCAGCACACCAGACCAAACCAGAATGGGATCACTTTTGCTAAATGACTTAATCAAACAGAACTCTGAACTAGACCAGTTTTCCAAAAATAGTAGATTCACAGCAACGAATCAGAAGAGGTCTAGTTTACCTGAGCCAGCATGACAGGGAAGTCCCTCCGTTTTAACCCTATAAGGAAAGTAACTTCGAAACTACCAATCCACTTTCTGTTGCCTGTTTTTGCTTTCTTCAGCCCTTTCTTGCCTATGAAGCCAACCTCCTCTACTCAGCTCATCAGAACACTCATTCTATTCATTTTATTCTATTATTTCATTTATTTTATTTTATTTCATACAATGAGGTGTTGCCTGATTCTAGAATTGCAAATAAAATCCAATTAGATCTTTAAACTACACTTACTGTAATTTTGTCTTTTTACAGTACATGTACAGGAACAGCAAGGAAGCAGTGGACTCGGGTGGAATAATTGAGATGGTAATTCATAGAAAATGGAGAAGTAAAGACAGATAGCAGTAGGCCAGACTAAGCAGTGTCTCCCAGGCCATGGCAAGGGCATTGGATTTCACACTGGATAAATAGGGAGCCTGTGTCTAATTGACAAGGATAAATAGCTGGTAGATTTGAAACTAAAAGATTGATTGCCTGATTTGTATTCCAGTGTCCTTTACCTTAGACCCCATGATTTTAAATGGCAAATTTTATTTCTCACCACAAAGCTGCTCAGAGTAAGGGAGAGAAGAATTGTATCAATTGGGTTTTCAGGTTTTCGTTTTTTAAATTATTTTTATTAAAAAAAAATAGTTGACATACACAGAACACAACTCAAAAGTGAGGAGAGAAGAATTGTATCAATTGGGTTTTCAGGTTTTCATTTTTTAAATTATTTTTATTAAAAAAAAATAGTTGACATACACAGAACACAACTCAAAAGTGCGGGACCCGGTCTGTACGTGGGATCCCAACCCTGGGCGGGAGCGCCACCACACTCCCAAGCGTCGCACTGTAGCAGTGCGCCACTGGGCCGGCCCAACAGCCTTTACCTTTCTTACCTGATGAACTCCTACTCATCCCTCCAGAACCAATTTAAACATTACCTCTTCCGTGAAGCTTTCCTAGACTCTCCCTGACAGATGGAGTTAGTGGCTCCATGCGCTGAGTTTGAAAGAGAAATGTCTCTAGCATCGTCCCTATTTCCTTGCATTGTCCTATTTATTTCAATTTCTCCCAGAGCCAGGAAGATGTCTTAGACTTGAAAAGTCCCAAGGGACTACCAGCACACAATTAGGAGTCCAATAAATACGCAACGAAGCGTAAATGAATGATAGGTGTTTCTTTGCCAGCATTTAATGTACACATGCCTTTTACGTGATACTGCAAAGAATGTTAAGATTTCTCTTTCCATTAACAAATGGTCTTGGGATGTAAAATCATAAACAACAATACAGATATTTAGTATCATTCTGATGAAAACGGGTTTTTTTCCTTCAAAACTTTTCAGTTCCGTTGGGGTGTCTTTTCAAGAAAATGTTGCTTTTTAAACCAGTCTGGGAGGATAGAGTTCCCTATAGCCTCCGCGCCTTGTCTTACTATTTGCTAGTACCTAGCTCTTTAAAATGCCCTAACATGCTCAACACGTTTGCTAAAAGAATTAGTGACCTATTTAATGCTTTACATGATGCAAGACAAACTCAAGCCTTCATGGGCTCTTCCCAGGACTGGACAGGAATATTTACCTGGGATCCATACGAGGAAAGTAAGGTGCAAAAGTGGATAGGAAAAGACACGCCTGTGTAGTTCCAAGCGGCTTAGTTCGGCTGGTTACAAATTTTTCTTTCAGAAATCACCAAATTGTTACCAGTGATGATGTAGCGGTATCTGAGGTCGGGGGCGATTTTCCGGGTCCCTCCCCGCCCAACGCTTTTCTGTGCTTTATAAACGGCTCCTGGAGCCGAGTTTCCACAGTAGTGTGTTTGTTCTGTAGCCCCGGGCCCTTCCGCGAGAGCCCGAGCCAGGCACTGCGTCGGTCTCCAGCCTCGCCTGGCAGAGCTCGGAAAATGCGTGAGCAGCCCTTATGCCGGCACCCGGACGTTTTGGCTGGTGAAGAAGAGCCGGGACGCCTGCCAGCTCGGCCACGTAGGGGTGGACGCTGATCCGGACAGTTCGGCCGATCGGACGTTTTGGCTGGTGAAGAAGCGCCGGGACGCCTGCCAGCTCGGCCACGTAGGGGTGGACGCTGATCCGGACAGTTCGGCCGATACGACCTGACTACGCCGGAACCCGGCGCCCGGGGCGTAAGCGCCGCGGAGCGGAATGGCTGCCGTACCGGCCCGTCGCGAGGCCGGGCGGAGAGGCGGAAGTTAAGGAGGCTGACGCAGCTGGGGGAACTTTGACTCGACGGCACTTTCCGGTCCGCGGCTCCGCCCCCGCCGGAGGGGCTCGGCTCCGGGTTTCAAGATGGAGTCGCTTAGTAGAGCTGGGCAGGAGATGAGCCTGGCGGCCCTGAAGCAACACGACCCCTATATCACCAGCATCGCAGACCTCACGGGCCAGGTCGCTCTGTACACCTTCTGCCCCAAGGCAAACCAGTGGGTGAGTGCGGCCCGGCCGCTGAGGATTCTCGCCCCGCCGCCGCGGACTCTTAAAGGAGCCGCGCAGGCTGCCTGGGGTCGGGGGCTAATCGGAAAGCCAGGGCGGAGAAGGCGAGGCCGGGAACTGGCGAAGAGCCAGACCGGAGCCTGAGGGGTATCGGGAGCGTCCGGAATTTGAGAAGAGCAAGTGAAGTAGGCCCGAGACATCCCAGGGAAAAGCCGGTGGAAGGGAGGATTGTAGCAGGATCAGTCTCTTGGGATCGGGTCTGGAGACGTGGGCGACCTACCGCCTTTGCTGATGCGTTGGAGACATGAGACTGATGGGGTCAGAAGGGTGCCTGAAAGCTTGTGTTTGAGGCTTTGAGGATTATCAGATAAATTACATATACATTATCTGTAAAATAAACATCCCTTCCTCTGTCGTCCCCCCCCCCAAAGACGTAAATGATAGCCCCTTCACAGAGGTCATTTGGATATCAAGCTTGAAATCCACTTAGTTTTAATTCTTACGAGAGGGGGGTGGGATGAGTCCGGCTTTAATCGATCGGTACTGTATTTTCAGAGTTTTGGGAAAGATTTCAAGGCACTTAGGAAAAGGGCTCCCATGTTAATTGGATTCTCAGGAGACCACTTTCAGGGAAAAGAGACCCTGTAAATTTCACCTACGATGCTAGTGAGTTCGCCTCTGAATGCTCCCGAGGGGGTCTGAAAAGTTCACAGTCTGTTCCCTAACTCTTGTTAGCCCCTGCTTGAAGCTTCGTTAATTGTTTAACAGAATTTCCCGTTTTCCTGTGATTGACCCTTCCTAATTAACTCGTTCAACTATAGGCTTTACACTTAGAAAAATACCCGTAAGTGTATGTTGGGTCGAATTTATCAATGACTGTCGTTCACATTTCAGTAAGAAATGAAACTCATAAATTAACAAAACTCTAAAAGATTATCGTAATATGTCCTTTACAAGATAATACAGATACATAGATTATGTACTTATCAATAATTTTGTGAAAATCATTTGGCATTTGTAAACAGTTCATTCAGATGAAGAGAGTTTTCATAATCATCTCGTTTATCTTTCCTTCACCTACTGGAAGAGGATGAGGTATGGGAGGTCACAAAGAATAAAATTATACACTGGTTTTTTGAAATATATCTGTTTTAGACATTGCCTTAGTTTGAAATGTTCTGAATCATTTTTCTTGATCTGTGTATAAATTTGTGAAATATGAATTACAGACAAATGGTAAAGACTTGGGGCTAGGACTTTTCACTAAAAAGTTTTTTTTTTTTTTTTGTCTTTTGTCTTTTTCCGTGTCCGGCAACGGATCACAACCCTCAGTGTTGCCCCCGTACCGGACCGGGGACCGGCAACGGGATTGCAACCCTCGGTGCTGCTCCCGCGCCTCGCTCAGCCAGTGAGCGGGAACCGGTCTGTATGTGGGATCCGAACCCTCGGGCGGGAGCGCCGCTGCGCTTCCCAAGCGGCGCACTTATCCAGTGCGCCACCGGGCCGGCCCAAAAAGTTTTTATTTCTAGTTTTTCACAAAGACTTTCAATATTTTAGAATTTTAAATTGTGGAGTTCTCTTTTAAATATAAAATACAAGCTATAATAACTTGAATTTAAAAATAAAGCTGCTATTGTTTGTTTATTTGGCTCATAGAGCATAACCAAAATCTTTTCTCTCGTTATTTTACAGTGAGTTGTAACTTTGCACAATGTTTTTTGTGGGGCAAGTTTTCTTTTACTGTAAGAGAGTTGATTACCAATTTCTTGTAACATTTTAAAGGCAAGAAAAAGCCTCTGAATCCTTAGGAAGGAAAAGTTTCATGATGATGTTCAAGCTAGGGCAATAATCCTGGAAGAAATCAAGATGATAATTTAAAAAAATTTTATCCCAGCAAATGTAATTTGATATGACTAACATTTAAAGTTTTAATAGTTTGTTCATTACATTAAAACATTTAGGTCCAGTCTAGGCTGTGAACTACAGGCTAATAGAGTTTTGTGTGTTTTTTTTTTAAACCTTGTAACTGTGTTTAAAACCTGAATACACTGTTGTCACAACAAGTAAAGGATGGTAATGAGCTGTACTTTATTAATCAAAACACTTTCACTTCAAACTAAAAAGATTTTTTAATTATTTGTAAGACCTACAATAATTACATTAAGGCAGAGTATAGTTACAATATTCATGATTCTTAAAGTTCTAAAAATAACAAACTTAATTGGTTTTGACAATAATTCTTAACTAACCACAAAATTTGCTACTCATGAAATATACCAAATTCCACAAGTGATGAAACAAAGAATCCTTTCTTATAGGAGTATAAGAAATTTTTTGTTCTTTTTTTTTCCTGTTAACTTTGATAAACTTTAAAAGTGAAGAAATTGCTATACACAGGACCTTGGCTTTAAAATTTAAAAATCTGGCTAAAACATTTTAGTTTTAAAAACTAAAAAGCTAATCCTATTATTTTCTCCTTCGCTAACTAAAAAAGAAAAATGCTGCATATACAGGCCTGTTGCTGGACTGAACATTGCAAATGCTTATGTATGCATCAATAGCATTGAAAAGATACATAAGAGACTGGTAACAGAAATTTGTGGAGTGAGAGGAACACCTACTTTACCTGTTCAAAAGTGATTAATTTTACAGTAAATAAAACAAATTGATCTTAAACGTGAAGCATTTCTTCTCCATTGGGACTATCTGGGGTTGGATTAAGGGGGAAAAAACTAATTGACTCATTGTCTATTATAGGAGAAGACTGATATAGAAGGGACCTTATTTGTATATAGAAGGTAAGCGTTTTTTTAAATTTATTTTTTAAAATGTAAGGATGAACAGTGTTATACAATAGTTCAACTCTGGGCCGGCCCGGTGGCGCACTCTCCCATATAGAGACCGGTCCGCTCACTGGTTGAGCGCGGTGCGGGCGCGACACCGAGGGTTGCGATCCCGTTGCCGGTCGCGGTACGGGCGCGACACCAAGGGTTGCGATCCCATTACCGGTCACGAAAAAAAAAAATAGTTCAACTCTTTTCTACATTTATTTTATTTGTCTTTGTTGTACATTTACCTTCCTGCTTGTCCCCTTCAAGTTTTCATCCATCCCTATCTGTGAGATCCTAACCAAGTTATTTCCCTTCTTTGAGCCTTACAGTGATTCAGAAGAATAGACCTAGAATTTATTTAGGAACCTAGCAAAACCATTTCAGAATAGCATTTTCTAGTAATGAATGAGTCTAAAACAGATGCTTGCCTCCCTCCTCCCATATTAAAAAGAGAAAAAGATATATTTGAGAAAAATAATAATACATAGACTAGCTCTATAAAATAATATAGTTGAGAGGTCAGTCCCTCTGTTCTGTGTTTACTAAATGAGAGGCTATCTTCTATGTCTGGTTCTGTCCCCTTTCCAACTCCTCCCCCCCACCCCAAAGTTCTAGATTATGTACAGCATCTTTAATAATATGTATTTAGTAATATGTATTTTTTGTTTGAGAGTTGTTTATAAAGTCTGGATTATTCATAATTACACATTTTTTCTTTTCAGCTACTTCAAGAATTAATTATTTCAGAATATGATTGGTTTGCAGATTATAACTTTGTTTTGTAAGGCAACCTACAGGATATGACAGTCATGGGGTACTTGTTTTCCTGGATTCCTCTAAAGTCTTCCTCCAACAGGGACAGATTCCTTTCCTTGTTTTCTGAAGCTTAGGGAGTCAGCAGGAGTCATTACTGACATCTGGTTCTTTTCCATTCTTTTAAATTGAGTTATCTTTTAAGGACTGCCTTTCTCCTTTGATGTCAATTTAAAAGAATTGGTCAAATTTTCTTCTAAATTTTGGTGTAAAGCTTTGTAATCTTATCTAAACACACCCGTCTTTTTCTTCTTTTAAGTGTAAGTACTATGATATTTATAAAGTAAGCTCTTTAACACTGTGTTTCCTGTTATTCATCTTTCTCCTTTAAAAAGGGGGAGGGGTCTTTACCTCACCCCCTTCATTATTCTTCATTAGCAATATAAATCTCTAGAAACTCAACTATTATTAGAACCTTGGTATCTGTGATATTTGGGACGTACCTTATTGGCCTTATTGTTAAGGTATGGTACAGATCCACCAATTGTAGAAAATGTGAGATTTAGTGTAGTGAGTGGATTGATATAATACAGTTCATGGCAGCTTATGTGGGATTGATTCTAATAGAAGGAGACCCAAACACCAAGGTCCAGGGTTCAATCACTGTACCATCCAGCTACCACATGAATGAATGAGTGAGTGAACAAATGAATGAATGAATGCGTGCATGCCCAAGAAACTATTTGGGAAATGTGAGCAGTTTGTGTACTTTGGATAGGGTATACCAGGATATCAGAATATCACTTTGCAGAGATCACTTAATATAGAAGAAGTCTGGATTTGGAGTCAAAAAACCTAAAGCTGAATCCTAGTTACATTACTTGTGTTGACTTTGGGCACAGGCTTTAATCATCATAAGATTGTTTCTTATTCTGTAGAACAAGGTTTTATTATTTCTCCATGTACAGCACAGAGAAACAGATGAGAAACTATGAAGTGTTAGGTACATGTGAGGAGTGTCTAAAGGATCGTGTATTCAATCCCCCTGATATGAGAACTAAATATGTTTCTTGTTGTGGGATTCAAGCCATTTTCCATCTTACTTAGGAGAACTATGTAAAGACCTATATGGTGCAAGAAAAATCATTATTGTAAGGGTGGGCAGTCATTACAGCCAATCCTGCACCATATTTGAAGTAAACAAATGAAATTTTATTCAGCAGATATTTATCAAATACTGTGTATCTATCTTGGGATAGATCTGTGAAAAAAACACAGAAAAAAACATCTGTGAAAACAAGAAAAAATTCCCCATTTGCATGGAGCTTACATTCTGTAGGGGTGGGAGGAGAAACATAATAAATACAAAAAATAAGTGGTATGGATAAAGAGAGAAGAGTTAGAGGTGTTGAGTTTGGGAGCAAGTTAGGAGTATTGAAAAGACTAGTTTGGGTAGGCCTCATCAAAAGGTGACATTTGAGCAAACACATGCAGGAGATGAGATACCCATGCAGGAGATGAGATAGCCGTGCAGAATCTGAGACAGTGGTCAGAACAGAGATCTTGAGATGAAAGCACACCTGCAGAGAGAGGAGCAAGGAGCCCAGTGTGGCTGGGAAGCAAGGGAAGAGGCATAGGATATGAAGTCGGGAGCGGCGAGTACATCAGGTAGGGCCTTGGTGGCTTTAGTAAGGACTTTGGCCTTCACTCTGAGGGACTGAGTCCTTGGATACTTCTGAGAAGAGGAAAGAGATGATCTGACTTAAATTTTTTATTTATAGTTTTATGTGCTGATAATATTGTATGCTGTGCTCATGTATACATTCTTTTTTGAAATGGAAATAAAGTAATAGATAACATTTCTGCAGATTACATGGTAACTACAGATTTTTTTTCTTCTATTAAATCTAAGGTCAGCTTCACCTTACCATGGTTTTACTATTGTGAATCGACTGAATATGCACAATCTAGTTGAACCAGTGAATAAAGATTTGGAGTTTCAGCTCCATGAACCATTTCTTCTGTATAGAAATGCAAGCCGTGAGTATCTCTGTTTTATTACAGTTAATATATTTATATATAAAACTGAGTGACCTTGGTTTCTATCAGCACGTTATTTTCGGAGTTTCAAATTACAGTACAAGATATGATCTATACTGTGTTTTATGATTATAAATCAATCTCAGTAAAATCAAACCTGCGACCTTGGTTTCTATCAGCACGTTATTTTCGGAGTTTCAAATTACAATACAAGATATGATCTATACTGTGTTTTATGATTATAAATCAATCTCAGTAAAATCAAACCTGGGCTCTAAAATTGAAAACCCTCTTTTGCGTATAATAACTTACTATGTTATTTCAGTTAACTGTACTGTTTCATTTAATAGCATATTTCTGTTTGTTTTCTAAAAATAGGTTTTACTCCTTTGTTTTTGTTGTAACACTGAACTATAGGCTGCCTGTGACCCTGAGCAGCAGAATTTACCTTGGGAGACATAGGATGGGGACAGATACTGATACTTCTTTCCACAAAGAAAGTACTATCTTTGCCCTGAGTGGTAGTATTTTTCAATCTGTTTATTTAATTGAGTATCTACTGGGTACCAGTGCTGCACCAAGAGCTATTGTACTTTGATGTTAATGGTACAATAACCTATATAGGGTAGTCAGGCAGTTAAGTCAGCTAAGACTTAGAGGTGTATGACAGACACTCATTTGGAGAGTTAGAATTATAACCCTTTATCTGCTTCCTAGTCCAGAGTTCTTTCAGGCATTTTACAGACTCTAAAGATGATTGGACGCAGTCAGCAAAGCTTGAGTGGCCCTTTCAAGAAAGTATAGTACTAAAAAGAATTCTCAGTTCCAGTATTTCAGTATGGATATTGAAGGTATGGGTGTTTGAGGACAGAAGGCAATTAATTTGGCATTGGCTGTAGGGATATCAAAACTGGTTATGGTAGAGTGATTGTGCTATAATTATCATGTAAGGGTATGTTGGAGAAATGTTCTAATGTAAGAAGGAGAAGTTACTGTGTTTGAATTTTACTTGACTGGGAGATAATTGGTATTGGGAAATGTCTTCAGTGTAAAATATAAAAAGCTACTAGATATTATACATCTTTTAATTCCCTGAATGAGAAGCAGCAAGATCTGTTGTAAAGCTGGAAGCCCCAAACTCTTTTCCCTAGCTCACTTTTAAGCACCTAAGTGAAATAGGGTCTATCTGTTGACTTTTGAGTAAACTTATTTGTCCAGATGATTACCTCTCAGATTTTAAATGCTGAGGACATATTAGAAATGTTTTTTAATACCTGTAAATTGAGATGGATTTATTTAAACTAATGGTAACAGTAGAATAATTTCAGATGGCTTTTTTCTTTGTACTGAACATTCCATTAAAGGGGAAATTCTGCAGAGGAACAGAGATCCAATTTTTTTTAAAAAGTGAAATTGGCTTAATTCTGGTCTTTATTACTTGGGAACTTAATCTAGCTATTGCTTCTAAGAAGAATTTGATTATTAAAGTAGTCAATAGGGAAAATTATCAAGAGACCCACGGACCTAATTACCATTTAGCATAAGCCTGAAGTGAACACTATTGTATTTCTTTCACAAGTAAAGGATCCTGTGAAATTGAATATGTGACATAACACAAATATAATTAAACCATAATTAACCAGAACCTAACTAATCAGAGCTTCAGTTATCTGGAAATATTTCTATAGTCCATGTGTAGAAGAAATTATGGCAAATTATAAGAAAACAAGCTAATGTTGGGTTTTATTTTGTGAAAAATCTAGCATATCTAGAGTGTAACCTGGGGTCAGCATAAAAATGTCAATATTCTATACTTTAACCCCACTATAGTATTATAGATTTATTTGTTGTAATAAGACCTTAGATCATCACGAGTATTCATTATGTTAATTAGCATATTCTTGGGGAGAAAAGTGAACTAATGCATTTTATTTTAGAAAAGACTTTCTTTTTTTTTTTCCTTTTTGTCTTTTTTACTGACCGGTAACGGGATCGCAACCCTCGGTGTCGCGCCCGTACCGGGGACCAGCAACGGGATCGCAACCCTCGGTGTTGCGCCCGCACCGCGCTCAGCCAGTGAGCGGGAACCGTTCTCCACATAGGATCCGAACCCTCGGCGGGAGCGCCGCCACACTCCCAAGCAGCGCACTCTCCAGTGCACCACTGGGCTGGCCCAGAAAAGACTTTCAACAAGCATTTAAAACAAAGGTTTCCTTAGTTGAACAAAAAAACTCACTTAACAAGGTCATTCCATTGGGGAAATTATGTGGAGAAGTGACAAGATAGTGTAAAGTGATTTTGTGAGTGTTAAGACCTCTCTTGAGTGTGTGTTTTGTCTACCTACTCTTTAAAGTGGAAAATAGTCTTGTTAGGTCAGCAAGCTATTGAATTATTTAGGGATTTGTTCTTTAAATAAAAAGTTAGTTAGTATGTGATTATGCATACAGGTAATTATACCTGATTCTGTAGCTGCTCTTCTGTTCTCTTGTGGGAAATACCACCAAGACACTTGACCCATTTAACTCAAGTTACACCTTCATATCCAGCTTCTTTCACTCAAATCAATTTTTAGAGTTAATGTAATGGAACATTGAACTATAACTTTTTCCAGTTCTAAATTGTTTTACTTTTTTTGTGTTTCTTTATGTATACAAAGTATTCACCCTCTCACCCCTCCCCACCCTACCCCATCCCCAAGAAAAAGGTAAAATCTTACAGAGAAAATGCTTACATTAACGAGTGCTTAGGTTTGGTGATTCTCTTGAATCTTTTGGAAGCAGTATATTTTTATTCTGTGCAAGGACCTTTTGGCAGCCAAAGACCCCAATGGAGCTACAGTGAAGAATGGGGAAGTTGCAGATTCTGTAGTTACTGAGCAACAGTGATATTCCCCGCACTTTATTTCTGAGTCTCGATTTACAGATTGAGGAAAAAAGAGGCTCAGAGAAATTTTAGAAACTTGCTCAAGAGTCACAGAGGTAATGAGTGACAGATGCAGAATTCGAATCTAAGTCAGTTGGGTTTCAAAGCCAGTTGTCTTTCCAATCTACTACAGCAATAAAGTCATTTACTTCATCAATCCACATTCTAGAGCACTGCTGCCTGCTGCCCAGTAGAACTCTGCAATGATGGAAAAGTTCCATATCGGCACTGTTTAGAATAGTAGCCATCAGCGACATGTGACTGTTGGGTGCCTGAAATGTAGCTAGTCTGAATGAGGAATTTTTTTTAGTTTAATCCATTCGAATTTATGTACCTATATGTGCTAATAGCTACCATATTGGACAGTGGGAGTCTGAAGCATAAATCCATGTTCTTATCCATTGTTGTGCCATGCCTGAATCGAACAACCACTTGGGAAGCTTTGGATTGGATTTTTATGTCTCCCATTTAGTCTTTCCTTTTTGAAATGTATAATTGATTTCTAGATACAAAAGCTGCAGAGTATATATCCCTGAGGATGGCTTTGCCATGGTAACACTGTTTTGGCATGGAATTTAGTTGGGAGACAAGAATTCTATTCTTGGCCTTACCATTTTACTAACTGTAACCTTGGATAAATCACTTAAACCACTCATCTGACCTGCTTATCTTAAAAGGGCATTATGAATGTAAGGTATTTTGTCAGGCACTTACAAATATAAAATGTAGACTGTGTCTCCATCTTAGAGTCAAGCCAAATAAAAGAGTTATAGGGACTTCCATATTATCCAGGTTCTCTTTTAACCCAGGCCTGCAGTGTACTTCTTCCTATCCCCTCTGACTAGCGCCATGGATGAACTAGGAACTCGTTGTTTTTCTTTACAAATATTTTTTTCAAATGTTGTAGGGGCCATTACTAGTTAGCCTGAGGTGTATATGTGTGTATATATATATATATATATACACACGTTAAAAATGAGAAATCTTGGGCCGGCCTGGTGGCGCACTGGAGAGTGCGCCGCTTGGGAGTGTGGCGGCGCTCTCGCTGAGGGTTCGGATCCCATGTGGAGACCGGTTCCTGCTATATATATATATATATACACACGTTAAAAATGAGAAATCTTGGTCCGGCCTGGTGGCGCACTGGAGAGTGCGCCACTTGGGAGTGTGGCGGCGCTCTCGCTGAGGGTTCGGATCCCATGTGGAGACCGGTTCCTGCTCACTGGCTGAGCGCGGTGTGGGAGCAACACTGGGGGTTGCGATCCCATTGCCGGTCCCTGGTACGGGCGCAACACCGAGGGTTGCGATCCCGTTACCGGTCAGTAAAAAAGACAAAAAGGAAAAATGAGAAATCTTTGTGGGGACGCATTTTTTTAAAAAAATCCTTAACAGAAGCAATTCTGATCAACTGGTCATGGTATTACTTTTTATTAGAATGTTGGAACACATAGCGCTCTCCTGGCTAAAACTTTATATTAATGTAATAATGTTTTAATCTGTGGACACTTGTCCCTAAGAAACATTGGTGATAGTTTTTATTATTTCTGTGATAGTTCTTTTGCTGTGTAAACATAAGCATTACCATCAATCTACTGACCTGTGTTCATTTGTAAACAGAATCCATTTTGCCCAGTAATTGGATTATAAAACCATTCCTTAGAGACTCTAAACTTCTAGGAAATCTATGGCATAGGCACGTCAAAGAAGATATTATTTAACTCCTGTCTAGCAATATCTGGACAGGAAATCTTCCCCCTACAGACATTTAGAAATGCTATATAAAATATTAAATGCATAACATAACGAAAAATGGAGTTGGGGACATTTCTGTGAGCAAGTATCAAAGTGGAAACTGAAAGCTAAAGTAGAAAGCATGTGAGCTGATACTGGCTGCCAACTATTAGAGGGTTCTTGGGGTTGGGAGCTCGTCTTAATACAAGGATCGCATTATAATGTATAATAAGATTAGGAGACAAGACCTCACAATGTGGAGAGTTAGCGCATAGACACACATACCAACATACGGCCAGGTCTCCTAACGAGCTACATATCAATTAATTAAAAAGATATCTGCCTGC